ATCTCAACTAATTAATAAACATCACCTAATGCTGCTTTAATCATTCTTTCAGTAAAATCCATAATTAACGAAAGTTAGTAATATACTGTAATAAGAGCGATAGCGATGCAAATGTAATGTTACGCTTGATGCAGTATTGCATGTTACACTGATAATTCAAGGTCGGACAAGAATTCAAAATCTATTTGGTTTAAACAGAACATTCGAGAATTTTAGAAAAATGGTAGGTTTTATCAGGTTTAATTTGGGTCACACTAATCGTGGGTCGTTGCCCCTATTAATAGAGCGCCTCAAAATGTCGAACTCGGTTATCTTTGAAGCTTTCCGAGATGATTATTACGACTATCTCTATGGAATAGTTTCTACAAGTGAATACGTATATAGTTTGTGTAATTCCCATTGTATATACGTGAATTTTTGGAATAATTTTTGGCAGGTGCGCCCCGGCTGAAACTTTATCGTTTATGCTACAAATGGTATTGTGCCATCAAAAGCGAATATGTAGGATTGGCGTTGATAATTATTCCCCTGCTAGTAAGAAAGCCCGAATAGTTTTCTCTTACTTATATGTACATGTATATAGGAATGAAATTTTTGTTGGAAATTATAGAAGCTCATTAACACATTTTATTTCACATTTTATAAAATAATAATATTTTATATTTTGAAACATTTAAGTTTCAAAGTTACGGAACACTCAGATCGTCGAAAGAATAACAACTAAAAAAAGGGTTCAAGATATGTACGCGGAATTTTTGTTCTTCTTTCACAATCGTCTATACCGGAAAATTTGCGTTTGTTTCGTTCTTCCATGATAATTCTAGCACGTGCTTCTCCAATACAATTTATTCCAGTCAGCTGAGTGTAAGTCACTTCATTAAGGTTTGGTTGTTCCATAGCATAATTATAGCATCTCCCAGCAAAAGGTCCGAAATATTCTTCCCAGTTGTCTTTACTAACGATTGCAGACATTGGCTGATGAAGTTCAAGTTTTTTGGAGGATGCTGATGTGTAAAGAATGAATGTATCTCCTGGACTTGTTGCTTTTTCATACTCATCTTTAAATCTTTCCTGAGAAATCATTTGTTTCACCAATTTGCATTTATGTGTCTCCATTTGTGGTAGTTCGGTCCCCACCATTTGAATCGAACAAAAGCTATCTCCAGATTTTGCACTAGGTGCATTGATTATGATATGCTTTGCTTCTGTAACGTCTACCTCTCCATCCTGACACAAAATTTTTACACCTTGCTTATAATCTTCTGACCTGGTGCTGACCCTTTTAACTGATTGTTCCAACCTAAGTTCTCGATTGTATATGGTACTATCACCAAAATTATGCTTGGCACCATTATGAATGACTCCGAGTTCAACTTGTTCATTATCACCATAGATATTCGATTTTAGAGCGCGAAATTGTGCAACAATGTACTCAAAATTTTGCCAGTATTGGCAACCGGGTGGTATACTTGGGTTCCCTGCTTTATTGCGTACTTCATTATAATAGTTAAAATTCCAGTTCCGTAAAATTTTATCTCGTGACTCACGCGCCATTATCCATAGCCAAATATATGGACATGTGAGATATCCAAACACTTCATCCGCTCTTTGACTCACAAATCGAACAAGACCAAATTTTGTTACGTCATCTACTGTTACTTCTTTCCCCTCAAATGTAGAAATATTTTGTTTTTTGTTAACTTGCGTACGTGAAAGAATAATGCGAAGGACCGGTTTCAAATAATCAGTATTACTTAACCATATTTGATATTTTTTACCGAGATTTGATCGTACACCATTTATTAGATCAATAAAATTAATATTGTCTAAATATATTCCACTGATAGAATCTACTAAAGCCTCCAACGCACGCCCATGGCCGCCCATATCGTTTATGAGCATCTTCATGACTGGATTATCGACAAAGACTGGGTTGCTGTTTATTCTCGGAGGTCGTAATGATGTCACTGGGAGAAAAACTCTCAATTGTTGTGAACTGGCAAGGAAACTGTGAATGGGCATGCTAATAGTAGCTGTACAACAGGTAATAATAAATGGAACAGAAAGTGAAAGCATACCAAGTGCAGAGATACAATCGTAAAAAAAGGATTTTTTGTCCGTTCTATCCATATTTTCATTAATTGCCGCCTGTAACCCATCCAGAATAATAATTACGTTCAGTTCATTGTATTCTTGATTACGATGTTTGGCAATTCTACATAATACATCATCTGGTGGTTCATTATATTGATTCTTCTGCTTAAACCCAAGCCAAACTTTACCGGGTTGTTGTAATAACTAAAAGAGCATTCGATTGCCAATTGCATTAGAGGCTCTTTTTTCATCACTCCAAATTAATTTGATCCCATTTTCAAATTATAGATTAAATACAAGAGCAGACCTAAGTCAATTCTGTAAGTCAACATTATTTGTACATTCCATTAGCAATTTCGGCAATTCTTGTGCAGTGCGAGATTTTCCTTCTCCAGCTCCTGCTAGAATGAAGTATTGCGATATTGTTGTTTTGTTACGTTTTCCAGCCTTCCAATATTTGAAATGATCCCTAATAGCATCCCTAAGTTCTTGTTTCAAAGCTTTTGAAGCTTGAAAGTCCCAAAAGGAACCACTACCCTTAAGAAGAGGTTGAGGATCACAATATTTTAATGTTTCAGGCAGGGTTCGTGTTGGAAAAAGAAAGAAATCAGATATTTGGTTACTACAAATTTCTTGTGAGAGAAGTAAAAACATTGGGAGATACTTACCAGTGGTCGCGGGCGGTGGTGGTTGTACGATAATTCGGATGTTACTAGCGGACTCGTGAAAATAATCTTTGATAGTTTTGAATGGAGATAACATTACACCTTAGTATTGTTCTTTGATATTTTCGGCGTATATTTTGGTTTCCAGTTCTTTATCCTCGACGGGAATATCCACACTCCATAGCTTCAGTTCGTCCGCGATTATATGGTTTAAACCGGGCTCCTTCTCTTTCTTGATGAGTTTCTTGAGATGTCCAACGGTAGTGTCTTCTTTAACATCAACCGGGAAAGAATTCCCAATGGCATCACCTAAAACGATGCAAAAAATCTGGAAATTCATTAAAAATTACTTATAAAATTATATAATTTGTGGAATTTTAAAATACCATTATTTCTCCGGTAGCAGATAACATTATAAATATAAGTTACGAAGTCCAAAAATGGTTAGTGTTTTGAAAGTAAAAAAATGTTTCAGTTCACGGCACGTAATCTGGCGTATTTATAAATTTACTGTGATAAACAATAATGATAATTACATAAGATTTGGGCTGCACGTTTATGTAATCCGACTTACCCAAAAACTATGTATAAGGAGACCAATAGAAAATAACACTTCACAAGTAGAAAAAATTATCATGAAGAAAAATAAAGCATAAAATTACGATCACCGATTTTCCGGGTACTGTACCACTTGTTATACCGGAAAATATTTAAATTACGTTATACTGTATACAGTGCGTAACAAAAAAACTTGCATGTTTTTTTTTTTAAATCACAAATAGGCATTGAATGTGAGACTTTATTAAACCCAAGTTTTAATAGTCATTACATTAAGAATCTTTACATAAAGCAAAAAAACTTGTGTTTTTTAAAAAAATTTTTTTAATTTACTATATTATTCTTTTTAAAATTTGTTGTATCAAAAGCAAAATCAATACAAAATCATATAAAATTATTATTTGCTTTACAGAATTTGGATATAAAATAAAAAATATAATAGCAATTTTTAAATATAAATTAAAATTTCTAAAAAATTGATAAATAAATAAATAAAAAGTTTTTAATAAAAATTATTTTATTAGTTTAAAATTATTTATATTTAAAAATTTTTTTTTTAATGTTAAGTGAGGCATTTCTCGTGATCTTTATTAATAGAGTAATTGCAATGTTACATAATTAATATTAAGATACTA